ACCTCCCCTTAGTGAAAACGGCCTAGGACCGAAACCGACGGACCTGGACCCGCAAAAATAACGGCCGCGACGCCCTCTCGCGAACCGAAAACGGCCAATTCACTAATCGACGTGTCAGGGTAGGTCTATCAACCTCCGACTCCTCGACGAGAAAAATGCACACGTCCGAGCGATGCCAAGTCTAGGAGACCGTCGTGTGCCTCCCCGAGGCTCCTGGCCCACGGGCCGGGCACGGTGCCAGGCACGGCGGCAGGACTCTGGGCGAATTTGTTCTGCACGGGGGCCCAGCGGAACGGCGCAGGCCTCTTGAAAAATACCGTGCGGACAGCACGTGCGTGCCGAGATGACCTTCAAGATGCCCACGCGTTCCCCGAAGGCTTTCCAAACCGATTCCGGGAACACATGGTCCGATAGCTTGGCAGGTCTGGCCTCAACGTTCGGCCACATAGGCGCTTCCAAAAAGGCAGGGGGCGGCGGTGATTCGCCGTAGGCGTCTTCGATACCATGCGGACCGCACGCGCGTGCCGAGATCTGTTTCATACAGTCGGAGCTTGACCACAAGAAACCTACCCCAGGACGAAGCGCCACGCTTTTCACAGCAGAACCGTCGACACCCAAGAACCCAGGGCACCCTGGAGGAGGAGGAGGAGGACCCTCTTTTTCATCAATTTATGGTGGTGGTGGTGGTGGTGGTGGTGGTGGTGGTGGTGGATGATAAGCCCATCAATGGTGGGGACGAACAGACAAGGGAGAAACGGACAGGATTGGGGAGGACCGGAGCGGAACGGACTACTCGAAAAGGAGCCCACGGCACTAACGCGATCACATGCAGGCGAGATGGGAAGGGCAAGATCGGGGCGGATGACGACAAAACGTAATACCTAAGGCGGGGTATCCGAACGCAGCTGATTTCTCCCGCGCCAGGGACGGCCAGGTATCGAGGAGTGTGCACGGCGGTGGGGCCGAAGACCAGCTGCATGCAGCAATTTTCGCAATCCCTGTTTCCCAATTCCCCCTCGTCCGCCCCGCAGGGGTGCCTGGCGTGCCAGATGATACGGGTTTTGGTTTTGGTTCTTTTTCCAAAAGAACTCCCCCTGGGGCTTCTGCCCATCCCGCCGGCCATCCGGAAAATCCATCTGTCAATGCTTCTGCTGCCCCAAGATGGCCCAAGATGGCCTCCGAGACGGCCATGGCCTAGGATGGTCTCCAAGATGCCTCCAAGACGGCCAAGATGGCCTCCAAGACGGCTAAGATGGCTCCAAGATGCACCCAAGACGGCCCAAGATGGCCTCAATATGGTCTACGACGGCCCAAAAGGCCCGCAAGAGGCCTCCAAGACGGCCCAAGAGGCCTCCAAGAGGTCCAGGAAGGCCCGACGAGGCCAAAATAAGTGATTTTCCTTAGGTTTGTGAAAGCTTTTGGCATTTGCGCCTTTTCTGCCTTCCGACGGCCCAAGACGGCCCAAGAGGCACCCAAGATCGCTCCAAGATCGCCCAAGAGGCCTCCAAGATGGCCCCATGACGGCTCATGACGCCCCAAAGACGGCCCCAAGAGAGCACGAAGACGGCCCAAGAGGCCTCCAAGACGCCAAAGATGGCCTCTAAGACGGCCCCGAAGCGCCCCAAGGCCCCAAGTCGGCCCAGAGAGGCCCCCAAGACGGCTCCCGACGGCGTCAGACGTGCCAGGAACCCACCAAGATGACCGAAGTTGGCTGGAAGCTCGCCCAAGACGGCCCAAGAGGCCTCCAGGAGGGCCTCCAGGGAGGCCAGAAAAGGCCAAAAACATTGAGTTGCCTTAGGTTCTTGACGGATATTGGCAGCTGCTTCTTTTCGGCCTTCCGACGGCCCGAGACGGCCCAATAGCTCCCAAAGATCGCCCAAGAGGCCTCCAAGATGGCCGCAGAACGGCCCAAGAGGCCCCCAAGACGGCCCAGGAGGCCTTTAAGACGCCCAAGATGGCCTCCAAGACGGCCCTGGAGCATTCCAAGAGGGCCCCAAGTCGGCTCAGAGAGGCCCCCCAAACGGCGTCCGACTGCATCAGACGGGCCAGGGGCCCACCAAGACAGCCGAAGATGGCACTAAGATGGCCCAAGAGGCCTCCAAGAGGGCCTCCAGGAAGGCCCGTAAAGGCAACAATCGTTGATTTCCCCAAGGAGTTTTTGGAGGATTGTGGCATTTGCTTTGTTTCGGCCTTCCGACGGCCCGAGACGGCCCAATTGCCCCCAAAGGTCGCCCAAGACGGCCCCAAGAGGCCCCCAAGACGGCCCAAGAGGCCTCCAAGACGCTCAAGATGGCCTCCAAGACGGCCCGAGGGCCCTCTAAGACGTCCTCCAAGAAGGCCCGAAACGGTCAAAATGGCCTCCAGACGGCCATGATGACCTTCAAGATGCCCACGTGTTCCCCGAAGCCTTTCCAAAACCGATTCGGGGAACACATGGTCCGATAGCTTGGCAGGTCTGGCCTCAACGTTCGGCCACATAGGCGCTTCCAAAAAGGCAGGGGGCGGCGGTGATTCGCCGTAAGCGTCTTCGATCCGCCGCCCCCTGTTGGCTTGCCATATGGGTGCCCGGCGTTCTGGATCCTTTCGCTGTTGGTGTTGGTTCTTTTTCCAAAAGAACTCGCCCTGGGGCTTCGGCCCGTCCCGCGGGCCACCCGAAAGGCCGCACAAGGCAGCGTGAACCACCTCAACGACAAGAAAAACTGCTCAAGATGGCCTCTGAGATGGTCACGTTGGCCCAAGATGGCCTCCAAGATGGAACAAGATGGCCTCCAAATCGCCAAAGATGGTCCAAGATGGCTTCCAAGACGGCCCGAGAGAGCCCAAGATACCTTCAAGACGTCCAAGAAGCCTCCAAGACGGCCCAAGATGGGTCCAAGATGCCTCAGACTGGCCAAGAGGCCCCCAAGAGGCCTCCAAGACGCCCTCCAGGAAGGCCCGAAAGGGCAACAATCATTGATTGTCCTTGGGTTTTTGAAGGATCGTCAAGGCATTTTCTTCTTATTAGCTCTCCGACGGTCCAAGAGGCCCCCGACATCGTCCCAAGAGCGCCCAGGAGGCCTCCAAGATGGCCTCATGACAGCCCAAGAGGCCCCAAGGAGGGCCCCAAGAAGGCCTCAAGACGGCCCAAGATGGCCCCGAAGACGCCCAAGATGGCCTCCAAGACGGCCAAGATGGCCTCCAAGATGAATCCAAGACGGCCAAGAGGGCCTCCAAGACAACCAAGATGGCCCCGAGATGCACCCAAGACGGCCCCAGATGGCCTCAAGATGGCCTTAGACTGCCCAAAAAGCCAGCAAGAGGTCTCGAAGACGGCCTAAGAGATCTCTAAGATGTCCTCCAGGAAGGCCCGAAAGGGTCAAAATGGCCTCCAGACGGCCAAGATGACCTTCAAGATGCCCACGCGTTCCCCGAAGGCTTTCCAAACCGATTCGGGGAACACATGGTCCGATAGCTGCCAAGGGCTCTGGCCTCAACGTTCGGCCACATAGGCGCTTCCGAAAGGGCAGGGGGCGGCGGTGACTCGCCGTAGGCGTCTTCGATCCGCCGCCCCCTGTGGTCTTGCCACAGGGCCACAGGGCCGTCTGGCGTGCTAAAGCCTACCAGTTTTGGTAGCGGCTTTTTTTTCCGAAAGAACTCTCCCTGGTGCTCCGGTCCAGCGCGCCGGCCACCCTGAAAGGCGCGCAATCGCGCACATCGTCCTCAACAAATCGTCCAAGACGGCCCTCAGATGGCCTCCAAGGCGGTCAAGATGGCCCCAGATGGCCTCCAAGATGCCTCCAAGACGGCCAAGATGGTCTCCCTAAGATGCCTCCCAGACGGCCCAAGATGCACCCAAGACGGCTTAAGATAGCCTCAGGATGGCCCGAGACGGCCCCCAAGAGGCCTCCAAGAGGGCCTCAGTGGCCTCCAAGAGGTCCTCCAGGAAGGCTCGAAGAGGATCATTGACTGTCTTTTTTTTTACAGATTTTGTCATTTGCACCTTTTCGGCCTTCCGACGGCCCAAGACGGCCTAAGAGGCCCCCAAGATCGCCCAAGAGGCTTACAAGATAGCCCAAGAATGGCCTAAGAGGCCCCCAAGATGGCCCCAAAGGGCCCCAAGACGCCCAGTCGGCCCAGAGAGGCACCCCAGACAGCTCCCGACGGCGTCAGACGGGCAAGGAGCCCACCAAGACGGTCCAAGCTGGCTCTAAGATGGCCTAAGACGGCCCAAGAGGCCCCCAAGAGGTCTCCAAGACGGCCCAAGAGGCCTCCAGGAGGGCCTCCAGGGAGGCCCGAAGAGGTCACCATCATTGACATTCCCTAGATTGTTTGATGATTTTGGCATTGCTTGTTTTCGGCCTTCCGACGGCCCGAACCAGCCCAAAAGCCTCGAAAGCTCGCCCAAGAAGCCTTCAAGATGGCCCCAGAACGGGCCCTGGAGCACCCCAGGAGGGTTTCAAGTCGGTCCAGAGAGGCCACAAGACGGTTCCGACAGCGTCAGATGGACCAGGACTGCCCTGAGACTGCCAAAGAGGCCCCCGAGAAGCCCCCACAGTGTTGAGACCCATAGCATGATCTGTGTAACTGTAGGGGGTAGTAGGTAGGAGCAGGTAGCAGTAGCAGGGGTAGCATCAGAAGCATGTTGCATTGCACTGCAGCCCTTTCGGTCCCGAGCGCAGGTAAAGGGACCCCTCTCCTCTCCTCCTCCGCGCGCGCCGCCGCGTCATGGCAGCGGAGCGTGGCTGCTGAGGACGGCCCGCCAGGCCGCTTCCCCAGTGGGCCCTGAGCCCGCCCCCGGTGCGGGGACAGCACCACCCAGACCCAGGCCGCCTCCTGGGCCACCACCTCGGCGGACCGGCCCTTCCCGCTCCCCCAGGGCCGCCCGGGGAGCACCCAGCCCGCCGGCACAGGGCCGGCCGTCCGGAGGGCACGAGAGCCTTCCACAGCCGGTCACGCTGAGACCAGCACGGGGTCAGGGAAACCCCAACAACAGACGAGTGAGGAGCAAGTAGTCCCATGAGCTGCGGACGAGCCGGCGGAAGCTCAGACTCCGGCTGAAGCACAAGGACCCTGCACTCAGAGAGGGTTTGTGCAACGAGCTGGGCGCCAGGCAGAGGGAGTCTCTAGGTCTGACCTTGGACGTGCTCCCGACTGCGACCGAGCGCCGCGAGCACTTGGAGGCTCTCTGGGAACCCTACAGGCGGAAGGTCACAGGCGAGGCGCCGAAGCTGGTCACCGACAGCTCCGGGCAGACTCGCGGAGTTGATCCTGAGCCTGGCCGCCAGCGGGCGTTGTGCGCCAGTAAGCGCGAGTGGTTCGACAACAGCCACAGTCGCGCCCTCGAGTTGCTGCTGTTGGACGGCGACGAGCTTTTCGAGAAGGCCAAGCCGCTCCTGGACAGGCGACAGGAACTCCAGGCGCGACAGGGCGCCGGAGAGGCCGACGACCGCGAACAGCGGGAGCTCAGCCGCTTGCTCGAGGAGCTGGAGGTGATCTGCTGCGCGCTTGCTGAACTAGAGGACAGCAAGGCTTGGCGCGAGCAGCGTCTCCAGGACACCGACGGGGCGCCACCGGGCCACTCGCAGCGCGGCGCTGCGAGCTCAGCGGCTGCTCCAAGCCGCCCCAGGCCGTCCGTCGCGCCCCAGCGGCAGCGCGAGGCGGCCGAGCGAGGGCAGCCAAGCTGTCCCGAGCGCCGGGGTGCCACAGCGGCTGACACAAGCCGTCGTGCACCGTCAGCGGCCCCGCAGAGGCCGCGACCGTCGGCAGCGCCGGAGCGCGCAGCGCGGCGCCGCTCTCGCTCGAGGAGCAGGCCATCGTGCAGGCGGCAGGACGCGGCACCATGGCGACTGTAGAAGATCAGATACGGGAACAGCTGCGTCAGCAAGACCAGCAGATCCGTGAGCTCGTTGCCACTGTTCAACAGCTGAGGGCGGCGCCGGCGCCGCAGCCAGCGCAGCCAGCGCAGCCTCTCGTGCAGCTTCAGCCTGCTGTAGACACGCGCCTCATCGGCAAACCAGAGCTGTTCTACGGGGAGCGTGCAAAATGGAGCGACTGGGCTTTTATCTTTCGAGCTTACTTAGCAGCGATAGATACAAAGTACCCGGCGTTGTTGGACGAAGCGGAGGCTTCGGAGGTGGTGATCAGGAGCGTAGACCTTGACCAGCCGTGGAAGGCGTCACTAAGTTCGCAGCTTTACTACTTGATGGTAATGCTGTTCCGGTCAGCAGCCCAGGACAAAATGTCCACCGTGTCCTCCTGAGAGGGACTGGAGGCATGGAGACAGTCGGTCCTTGACTGGGACCCCAAGATCCGCACGAGGCGGGTCGGGTTGCTGATCAAGATACTCACCGCGAAGTTCAGCGGGGACATCCCGCAGAGCTTCGATCAGTTTGAACATCTGATCCGCGAGTACGAGCAGCAGTCGAAAAAGGTCTTCGACGAAGATCTTAAGATTGGCCTGGTGGTGGTCAACATGCAGGACACCGACGTCCAACAACACCTTGTGAAGAACGCAAGCAGGTTGGAAACTTGGAAGGCCATGAAGGAGGAGCTGCTCGACATGACGCGAACCACGCAGTACCTGAACTCCCAGCCCAAACCTATGGAGCTAGGCGCCATACCACAAAGAGGAAAGGGCAAGAAGGGGGATGGTAAGGGTAAAGGTGAAGGTAAAGGTAGGAAGGGGGAAGGAAAAGGAGGCGATCCACGGAAAGGGAAAGGAAAGGACGCCAAGGGAGCCCCGAAGGCCAAGGCAAAGGCGGAAGCCAACAAGGAGAAGGAGTGCTTCTACTGCCACAAGAAGGGGCACATCGCCGCGGAGTGCAGGAAGAAGGCGAGGGACAACCAGGCTAGGCTGGCAGCGGCCCCTGAGGCCGCGCAGCAGGGCGGTGCAGGACCCCCGCCTACGGCGCAACCAGTGGCCGGTCTCATGCAGATCGGGCAGGAGGAGGTGCAGCATGGGTACTTGATGCCATTATGCTCACCGAGCGACTCCGGCGAAATGCTGGCCCCCATGCCTCAGAGAGTCATGGTCGACACAGGTGCTGGCAGGTCCGTGTGTCCGGCTGGTTTTGACCCCCGGGCAGAGCCGGACAGCTCTGTCAAACCAACCACGCTGACGACGGCGACGGGGGAAGAAGTGAACCTTTCGGACGGGAAGAGGTCTCACTTCCAGGCAAACGACGGCAGTGGCGTTGTCTTGCGGTACAGTGACAGCGACAAGGTCACGGTTCCTGTCGTCTCGGCGTCAGAGTCGACCGAGCAAGGCAACTGGCTGGTATTTGGCCCTGGGGTACAGCGTATCATTGGGCCAGACCACGCCGAGCACCTCAAGGAAGCCGTGCGCCAATCGAGCGGATTGGACATGGTAAAGGATAGGGGGGTGTACTGGCTGGAAGTGTGGGGGGCGACAGGGCAGGAAGAGGCGAGGCCGCTCTGCACAGCGAAGGCAGCAAGGAAAACGTTCACCCCGGCTGAACAACAACCAGCGGCACCTGATGCCATGCAACCAGCAGCGCAAGGGGAGGCCCCGAGGCCGAACGTGCAACAAGGAGGGTCGTCCTCGAGCGCGTCCTGCGCTATGCGCCCAGACCCCGCGCTGCCTGACCAACGGCCGCCTACGCTGATGCCAGACTCGGAGGAGCCGCGGGCGCCGCGAGCAAAAGCCATACCACCAACTGTGAGCAAGGCGGAGTGGGACGCGCACCAGCTAACCCATCTGCCGTTCAGGTCGTGGTGTGAAAGCTGCGTCACAGGCAAGGCCGCCGAAGACCCCCTCCGGCAGCTCCAGCAGGCTCCCGACGGAGCAACGCCGAAAGTGTGCATGGATTACCTTTTCCTCACGCAGAAGGCGGTGGAGAAGGAGATGTACGCTGTGTTGAACGTGCTGGACGCGAAGTCCGGCGCCCCGTTTTCAGGCATGGTCAACCAAAAGGGTGACGACGACTATGCATTGGCAATTGCCCACGAAGGAGTGCGCTTCGCAGGCAGGACAAACTTGATTGCATGTTGTGATGGCGAGAGCGCTATCAACAAGCTGTGCGACAAGTTTCTGGAAACCCGGCCTTCCGGACATACTGTCACGAAGGTGAACACACCGAAGGGTAGTCAGAGCGCAGGGCTGATTGAGCGCAGCAATTACGAGGTTGAGAAGGAGTACAGGGCCGTGAAGCACAGGCTGGAGTCCGTCTACAAGCAGGCGTTCCCACTCAGCCACAAGGTGCAGCCTTGGCTTGTGAGACACTCGAGTTGGCTCATCGTCCGTTTTCTCGTCAAGGCAGACGGCAAGACGCCGTACGAGCGCCTGCGTGGCAAGCCATACAACGGCGAGATTGTCGAGTTCGGGGAGTGCGTCTACCACAAGAGTCCTCTTAGCGAAGTGGGCAAAGCGGACGACCGCTGGCACCTTGGTGTCTGGCTCGGGAAATCCATGCGATCAGACGAGCACCTGGTTGGCACTGCCAAGGGAGTGCTGTTGTGCAGGTCGATATGGAGGAGGCCAGAGAAGGACAGGTGGGACGCGAAGCTGCTTGACCGATTCGTCGGCTCTCCTTGGGCCCCGGTGCCCCCAGGAGTCAAGGAGGTCAAGCCCCGTGAGGTGTACATCACCCTCGACCGGATCATCCGCCTCGGCAAAACACCCGGTTGCCCTGGCTGTCGTGCGCCAGGAGAGGCGAGGCACACAGCTGAGTGCCGCGAGAGGTTCGGCAAGCTCGTAGGAGCTGAAAAGGAAGACGTCGCCAAACGGAGGCAGGAAACGCAACCAGCGGCACTTGATGCCGCGCAGCCAGCAGCGGCACCTGATGCCGTACAACGTGTAGCGGCACCTGATGCCGCACAGCCAGCAGCGCACGCTGCTCAAGCACACCCGCCTCCTGCTGCTGCACCGCCAGGCGGTGCGCACGCAAGCCAGCAACAGCAAGAGCAACAGCACCAGCAAGCCGTGGAGGGGCAACACCAGGCTGCACCGCCAGACGTGCAGATGGGGGAAGCACGCGTAGGTCAGGAGGACGCCCGCGACGTCGAAATGGAGGGGGAGCCACAGGAGGACTCCCGGTCGAAGAGGTCCCGGCTAGTCGCCGGCCTGCCGACCCTCCACGAGCCAGCTGTAGTGGCAGCTGCTTTTGGGACGTGCGTGTGTTTTCTGGCAGCGGCACCTGATGCCGACAGCAGCGACCCACAAGTATGCCCTGTACAGATGGAGTGGGACAAAGATTTCTTCTCCACGAAAGCAGGCATTAAACTGGACCCCCAGAAAGTGCTAGAGGGTAAGATCCGCGAGATGACCCAAATAGAAGCCTACAAGGTGAAGGAGGACATCCCATGGTCCACAGCCAGAGAAAGAAAACTGAAAGTTGTCAACTCGAAGTGGCTGCTTGAACCCAAACCGACAGCTGAAGACCCGGAGGCGGTACGGGCCAGGCTGGTGGCAACAGAGGTCAACACGTATGTGCGCGAGGACGTGACACAAAGCACACCTCCAGTGAAAGTCTTTCGGATCATTGTGTCGTTGGCCGCGTCCAAGCAGAGGGCAGACGGGTCATGGTCTAGGCTCGTGGCTGGGTACGATGTCTCGGTTGCTTTCTTCCACGCAGACAGCGATGGCACGACGGCAGTCATCCCACCACCAGACGTCCGCAGAGAAGGATACGTGTGGTTGTTGCTGAAAGCCATGTATGGCACGAGAGAAGCTTCGAAACGCTTTGGTCAGTACGTGATCCACGCTTTAACTTCGGAAGGTTTCGAACTTGTTGTTGTTGTTTCCATGACATTCTTTCACAGAGCACTGGATGTGTCCATGGGTTGTCACGGCGACGATTTTCTTGCAGAAGGCGAGAGCGATTCGTTAGACCAGGTAGACAACATCATGCGCAAACACTTCGAAGTGAAGATCTTGCCTCGAATCGGCCCCCCGGAGTTCGGCGGACAGGCGGCGACCGGAAGCCACCTGAAGAGGACGATCCGCTGGACCACGTCCGGTTTTGAGTGGGAGTGCAACCCGCAGCACATCCTTGATCTCGTCGAGCTCCAGGGCCTCACACCGGGAGTGTCCAAGGGTGTGAGCACGCCAGCGTCCAAAGACACTGGGAAGGGCGACAGAGACGTCTACGATCCCCTTGGGAGGGACGACGCGGTGCTCTTCAGGACAGGAGCGGGGACGCTACAGTACCTCGCAGAGGACACGCCCACGGTCAAGTTTGCAGCCTCAGGGATCATGGAGGGGATGACGGCGCCTCTCAAGATTCACCAGATGAGGCTGGCACGCTGCAGCCGGTACCTGTTGGACCACCCAGGAGAGGTGTGGCTCTTCGACTACCAGAAAATGCCTGTATCTCTTACGGAGTACTGCGACTCAGACTGGGCAGCAGACCGAGAGACGAGGAAGAGCGTGAGTTGTGTGGTCGAGAGCTTCGGGAAAAATTTGATTCATGTAAGCGTATCGAAACAGTCTCTCCTGGCCCTCTCGAGCGGGGAGGCAGAGTTCTATGCCATCATCAAAGGAGCAGCACAGGGCGCGCAGACAAGCCAGGTGATTGAATCTTTCGTTGGCCGCGAGTGCAAGCTAGATGTGCTGAGCGACTCGTCAGCAGCGCGGGGAATCTGCAACCGGCAAGGGAGTGGTAAGGTGAGGCACCTGTCCGCGAAAGACCTCTGAGTGCAGTCATTCTTCCGTGACAACCGCGGCAACCTGAAGAAAGTTGACACGGAGGTTAACTGGGCAGACCTTGGTACGAAGGCACATGCACAGGCTCGGCTACAGCAGCTAGTGGACATGATGCCACTGAGGAGGAACGAGCCCTTGAGGAGCGAAAGGAGGAAGGGCTTGAGCTCAGGCAGGGTTGCGTCGTTTCTGGCGATGCTGAACCCGTGCAGGTAGTGGGCCCTGAGTCCGCAAGCAACACCAAGCAGTGGACCCTGAGTCCGAGACCAACAGCGGGGCTTGACTCTGCACACGAGGACGCTGCGCACGCCTAGCCGGCAGCGCGGCGACCGGGAAGGCAGCAGAAGCCTGCCACAATCCCACAATACCAACGCGCATGGCTATGGTGGTGGACTCCCCATACATGCGCTACGCCAGCGGGTGCTGGCAAGCCTGGCTGCTAGGAGCTGCCGGGTGGAGTGTGCCGTGAGCACGCTGTATGTCCGTGCAAGGGGTACGGGTACGCAGTAAGTAAACAAACAGTACGACTTGTGTACACAATTACTGAAACGAAGCCCCGTCTATGGATTTAGCGGGCCATCTGCTCATGGACTTGACAGATGAGGAGGTGTCTACAGGAGGCTGGAGTCTGATCAACTCTCTCTTGACACTGAGCGAGCCGGAAGGGCAGGGACTGGCACTGAGCGGATCGTGCATCCGCCACCTTGACAGTGAAGCGCGTCTCCGGGAGCCGCCCTGCAAAAGCCGACCACCCCAGCGGAGCCTGACTCCGCGGAGAGGCTGGGAGCACTCTCAGGACGCTTCTTGCCTAGGTCATGCTAGGTACAGGCTCTGACCAGACAGCAAGGTCTCGGCAGAGTGGAGGGGTGTTGAGACCCATAGCATGATCTGTGTAACTGTAGGGGGTAGTAGGTAGGAGCAGGTAGCAGTAGCAGGGGTAGCATCAGAAGCATGTTGCATTGCACTGCAGCCCTTTCGGTCCCGAGCGCAGGTAAAGGGACCCCTCTCCTCTCCTCCTCCGCGCGCGCCGCCGCGTCACAAAGGCCCCCAAAAGGTCCAAGGAGGCCGCGCAGGTGCCTCCAAGAGGCTCGCAGGAAGCCCCCAGGAGGCCCCGAGAGTGCCCCCAGAGGCTCCCAAGATGCCCCATCCTCCTCTTCCTCCCCCTTCTCCTCATCCTCCTCCTCCTCCTCTTCCTCCTCCTCCTCCTCCAGTCTCTTTCCTCATAAATGATTTTTCCATGTCGCACCCCAAGGCCAGTTTTTAGGGCGGGTCTGGCTTTTCGCCTGAGATTTCCTCATCACTGATGACTCTGAAGCTGAAAAACTGACAACAATTTAACAGGTGGAGAGTGGGTCGTTTTCAAAGTGTGGCTCTCGCCTTAGCGCGGCGCACATTCGTTCTAAACATTTGCAAGAGTTCCACGGATTGAGAGCGGGTGGTTTTCAAAATGTGGCCCTCGCCTTGGCGCAGCGCGCATGCGTGTAACAAGCATTATAAGAGCTTCACCAAATGACGGCGGGTGGTTCTCAAAATGTGGCTCTCGCTCAGCGCGGCGCATATTCGCTTTGAACATTACATGAGCTTCACGGATTGAGGTCGGGTGGTTGTCAAACTGTGGCTCTCGCTTCACGGATTGAAGGCGGGCGGTTTTCAAAATGTGGCTCTCGCCTCAGCGTGGCGCTCATTCGTTTTAATCAGTTGCGAGGGTTTCACTGATTGAGGGCGGTTCTTCTCCAAACTGTGGCTCTCGCCTTAGCGCCGCGCACATTCGTCTGAGAAAATGTAAGAGTTTCACGGATACTATTATCAATGTGCATTCAGGATTACGCGGGAGCAACAGTTATGTTGGTTCGCTGTTGAAGTCCCAAGAATGCTGTTCTGGCACGATTCAGGATCGTCAAGGCGCAACAGTCAGGTTCATCCGTGGCATTGGAATCCCGAGAACAATGTTTTGGCATGCTTCAGGGTCTTCAAACGGCTGTCTTCCAACGGGGCAGTTCCCTCAATGGAAATGAACCGTTGTAGGGGCCTATGAAGAGGGAGCTTGGAGGGAGGCTGTATTCCAACATCGTTGATGACTCTTGGACATGGTCCGATAGCCTGGCAGAGCTCTTGCCACAACAATCGGCGATGTCAAAGGGCAGGGAGCGGCGGCGACTCGCCGCAATTAGTTGGGCGTCTTCGGTGCTCGTGGTAACCTGGTATCGGGGCCCAAGAACTCCCCTTTGGGCTTCGGCCCGTCCCGCTGGCCACCCGGAAGAGACCCCAAAATCCAGCTGTCAATGCCTTTCGCGGTCCAAGATGGCCGAAGATGGCCTGCAAGACGGCTCTGATGGCCCGATATGGTCTCCAAGTTCACTCAAGATGGTCCAAGACGACCTCCAAGACGGCCAAAGAAGGTCGAAGATGCCTCCAAGTCCGACCAAGCAGCCTTCAAAACGGAGCAGGAGGGCCCAAGAGGCCGAAGAGGCCTCCAAGACAGCCAAAGAGGCCTACAAGTGGGCCCGAAGAGGCCAAACTCATTGATTATCTGTCGGTTTTAGAAGGACTCCGTTTTGGCTTTTCGATGGCCCGAGAAGGCCAAGAGCCCCCTAAGATCGCCCCAAGATCGACCAAGGGGCCTCCAAAACGGCCCCAGGACGGCCCAAGAGGCCACCAAGACGGCCCAAAGAGGGCCCCAAGACGGCCCAATGGGCCTCCAAGACGCCCAAGATGGCCTCCAAGACGGCCCGTGTGCACCCAAAGAGGGCCCCAAGTTGGCCCAGAGAGGCCCCCAAGACGGCATCCGACGGCGTCAGACGGGCCAGGAGGCCGCCAAGACGGCCCAAGGTGGCTCCAAGAAGGCCCAAGACGGCCCAAGCCTCCAAGAGTAGGCCCGAAGGTGCCAATGATTTCCCATCGGTTGTTGAAGGAGTGTGGCATTTGCTTTCTTCCGGCGTTCCGACGGTCCGAGACAACAAAAAAAAAACCCGAAGGTCTCCCCAAGATCGCCCAAGAGGCCTCCAAGATGGCCCCAGAACGGCCCAAGAAGCCCCAAAGACGGCTCCAAGAGGGCCCCGGGACGGCCCCAGAGCTCCCAAAGATCACTCCAAGATCGCCCAAGAGGCCTATGGCCACAGAACGGCCCCAGAGGCCCCCAAGACGGCTCAAAAGGCCTCCAAGACGCCCTAGATGGCCTCCACGACGGCCCTTGAGCACCCCAAGTCGGCACAGAGAGGCCCCCAAGACGGCTTCCGACGGCGTCAGCCCTCAGACGGCCAAAGGCCCCCAAAATGCTCCCAAAATGCCCAAGGAGGCCCCCAAATTGCCTCAAAGAGGCTCCCAGGAAGCCCCCAGAAGGCCCCAAGAGTGCCCCAAGAGGCTCCCAACATGTTCCCTCCTCATCCATCATCCCACAAGTGTTCCCCGAAGGGTTTCTACAACGGCTGGGGGAACACAGGGCCCGATAGCTTCGCAGAGCTCTTGCCACAACACTCAGCCACATGGGCGATTCCAAACGGCAAGGGGCGGCGGTGATTCGCCGTAGGCGTCTTCGATACTCAAGGTAACGTGGCCCATGCGATAACAATACATATGTTGCGAATGTGTGAATGCTGGTCCTAGGGCGCATGGATACAGTCAGAAGCAGGCTACAAAAAACACGATCAGGGATGGGCCAAGAAACAAACGCCGCTGCGTGATTATCCCGTAGGCCGCATTCCTGCCGTGACGACGCTTGAGAGATCTCCGCTTCCAGCGGCTGTCGACTGTCGGCCCTGGATGTCCTGAGGATTTCACACCGTGATTTTCGTTGTGTGTCCCGGGCCCTAAGGCCCGAAACGGGCCCCCCAAGAGGTCCCCTCTTTGAATAATCGCGCTGGCGTCGCCGCTGCGCCGACACGACGCGAATATGCCGCACGCCACCTATAACCGGCCAAGGAGATGTGCAGCACAGAGCGGGAAATATAATTATGAGCTGATATGCGTCTCGCAAACTCGTGCCCTCAATTATTTTAGCTGCAGCCGATGCGATCGGGAGAATAAACCAAGCGTTCGAACGAATCCAGCAATGATGCGGAGCTTGCTCTTGCAGCAAACCGAACAGTTTGCGCATTGGAGCATCGTATCCTGATCCTGTCATCTTGCTCTTCCCGCTCATCTTCCTCGTCCTGCTCCCGTCTCCCTCCTCCCTTGTCCATCCATGTTCCTTAATCACCTTGTGCTCCCGTCTCTCCCCCCAATCCGTCAGGAGGTCTGGCACACACGGCACTCGCTGAATAGTCTTTCGCCCGTGTGGTTGACATCGGGCGTTCCAGAAACACCGGATACAATACAGTCGGGGCGTTGACCTAAGGAACCTTAAATAAGGAACGAGGTCCCTTTTTCCCATAGGTTCAACTTCGATTCCCCACCGAAAACCGTGGGAAAACCTGAGGCAAGCTGTGAAACAATCAAGGAACACGGAGCCCCATCCCCAACGAAAAGGGTTCCTTCTTCAAGACCCCTACTGTAGTGTTGACGTCTGGGGTGCACTTCCATGGACATCCGCTGGCTTCGGCCAGAAGACCCACCGCCATCCCACAGTCAGGAGGGCACCAACTATACACCAACACCGATCCTGGCCAGGATCACCCTGGGCCCAGGATCGGTGTATACGCCCTCGTGCCTGGGGCAGGAAGGCATATACACAGATCCTTGGCCCAGGGGTGACCTGGCCAGGATCGGCGTAGGTGTATATCAGGAGGGGAAAAAACACACAGACACCATTAATCGGCGATTCCCAGAAAATATGGGAAACTATGGGGAGTGGGGGGGGGAAGACAAAAACCCAGAAAAGATATGAAAATATGGGGAATCAGCTTATTTGTGTGTATTTTTGTGTGTGTCCCAGTTCCCCTTCAGCTGGGTAGTCGAAGCCAATCTGGCGCCAATCTGGCAGGCCCAATCTGGCAAACGGGGGCAATCTGGCGAGGGAGCCAACGCGAATCCAGTCTGGCGAGTAACCGAAATCACAC